ATTATAAACAGGATGTAGACAAACTTATCTACTCCTATTAAATGTGTGTAGATGGATGGCAGAACAGTGGTTGGGAAGAATAGTTAAGACAAAACTTACCAAGAGCTACAAAAGATATGAAGTTGTGGAGAGCCATGATCATCAATGTCCTGAAGAGATGGGGTACATAGAAGAAGAATAAAGGCCTAAAATTGTCTGCATGCAATCAATACCTCATGAAAAACATTAACTGCACAAAAGCGAATTTTACTGTCTAATATTTATGCTCTATGTATAAAGAAAGAATGAAGGAATTATGATGTAAAAATTATTTTTGTGTGTTCAGTGCAAACAATGATATGTACTAAAAGTAAATACAAAGAGTCATGAATGATCTACTTAATATAAATTTTAGCTCTGTTATTTTGTTACTTTATATAATATATATATATATATATATATATATATATATATAAGGCAAGATGTGTGTATGTGTCTAACAAATGCATAGCCACAATTTTCGATGGATTTGCACCAAAATTTACATGCACATGCTCCAAGTTAGCGGGATGGCCAAGACCAACTTTGCATTTCCCAACTCCCATCGATAGTGAAAATAATCGATTTTTTCATGCTTCTACAGCAGTTTTCATGTAGTTTGCAGCCATTTTGTACTGGCCAGAGTGAGAGCCTATAGCTCGCTGCCATGAATAGGCAGGAAGATTCTGTTGGCCAGTGTGAGAGCCAACAGCTGACTGAAACGAATGTTAACTAGCATGCTAGCATGCAAAAACAATTGATAACTGCATTCATCACAAGTGGGAAAATTTAAATCTGCATGGCACTTTACTCCAATTGGCTCATTAAACATTAAACTCAACATTGATTCTGATTCCACAGAACTGGGTTGGGTGTGAAAAAGTATTTGTTGTTAACATTCTTTTGTCATTCGGTTTTTCCAGTTTCTGAGTCCTTTTTTAAAGCTGATCGTTTTGTTCATTTTGTTTAGTTTTTTTTCGTAACAGATTTAATGTTTAGTATAGAGCTTATAAAAAATTTGCAGTGTGAGATAGGCAAGAAGTAAGGCACGTAGCAACATCGGTACGGCAAAGGGCACTCCTTTAAAGGCAAGGAAGGGCAAAAATATTTTAAGTCAAGTGATAGCGATTGCTGTATGAGTCGTACGATTTTTGAATCAAGCACGGGGCCATGCTGCTAGTATATATATATATATATATATATATATATATATATATTGGCTGCAGATTGCATTCATATATGAAACAGACTGGTGCCGCTTTTATATTTACATACACTCTGTCTCTGATACTGAGCACTTTTATCCATAACTATAGCACAAGTTTTGCTTTTATTAAAGCTTCATCAAAGAATGAAATATAGTGGAGAAAAAGAAAATTCTGATATTTTTCATTTTTGTGTTGTTTTTGTATTAGTGAAATAGTCCTCACATTCATCTTTCATGGGTGTATACGTATCATACTCCTAGTTATTCTTTGTGAGATTATAATGTATATTCGTGTATGTGTGTGTGCGCACAAATCTAGCAGGCATTTTTATCCATTTTTGGTTTCACAAGAAGTTGAAAGAATCTAAATTACACCGGTTGTGGTAGCAGGTAAACATATCCTAGAATCTTTATATATGAATTTTATAAAAGTTGGTGATATAATGAAGTAATTTTGACATGTGTTTATAGTTAATAAAATATTTATCAGAACTCTCACAAAGTATTTCCTGTGTATAAAATTATGTTATTTTTTAATTAAGGTGGCATTTATAAAATTGAAGTTAAGGCCTATTTTGTTTCTGTGTATTATAAACAAGTTTAAAGGGTTGTCCCAACATAGGTCTCTTATATTCGTAGATACAGGATTTTAGATTCCTAGATGTTTCACTAATGTATCTTTTCCTACATTATAGGCAATTTGTCATAAAGCCCAGCATCTGATGTAGTGTGAGATCTATATTTCTTCCTAACTATAATTCCAATTGTCTTGGAGGTGGTGGTAAAGATCCACCACGTTCAAGACAGTTGGAAATAACTAATTTATAACTAATTTATTTTCAAATTTGTCAATAGTTTTGGAGGGTCAGATCATGAATTTTGTGCATTTGTTTTTGTAAGTACCTATGTCGTCGGTGGTGGTACCTACTTTTATGGACTTGTATGCTCATTTTTTATCATTGAGAACGAAATGATGTGGTTAGTGAAGAAGTTTAAATGTTTTTTCAATGTATTTCTCTTCTTCATGTAAATATTCTGGGCTACATATTCCAAGGACTCTCCTATGATTAGTCCTGATTTTATTTTGAGCTGCATTGGGAATAGGAATTAATTAGACTGTTTTTTTTAGTGGGTTGTGATAAACTTTAAAATCTAATGTCAAGGAAAGGTAAAGATTTTTCTATTTCATATATATATATATATATATATATATATATATATATATATATATATATATATATATATATATATAAATAGGCAGTATATTTTCATTCAAACAGATTTGGTTAAATAATTTAGACGTATTATACCTATTTATTTTGTTTTTTTATCCTTTCAAGTCCACAGATTAATTTCTTGGTAGCTGTGAAAAAATTGATTAAGTAAAATACCAAAATTTTCTTTCAAATAATTCTTATTTTCTCAAGTACTTTCAATCTCATATGAGACAATCTTTATGGGGTTAAATTGTCTGTGAATGTGTATTTCTGTAAATCTAAAACATTTTTAACTGTTCATTTTACTGTGTTATGCAGTGTTCTAGATTTCAAATTCGAAATTCACGTTTTTTCTCTCTTCCACAGTGTAAGGGAGGTAACTTTTTCATTTTATTTATTTATTATATTATTATTCTTATATATATATATATATATATATATATATATATATATATATATATATATACATAAAATTTGCTCCAAACATGTAAGAACTTTGTTGCTATACTCATAGTTGATTTTATTTATTTTTTAGGCTTCTAGGATTTTTAATTTTTGCTTATTATTATTTTTATGTAATATAGATGTATTTTCAACAAATATCTGTCTAAACTGTGAGTGTTGGCATGGGTGTTCTTTTAAATGCTGTAATATTGAACTTCATCCAATGTTGGCTTTTCGTAAGATGCCAGTTGATGGAGAAGAATTGTTGGTTGGTTGTATTAAATTTAGTATAATATATAATTAATTATATTTTTTTATTTGGGTCAGTGGGGGATATATTAGTGTTTATGATATTTTTCTTGTATATTTTCAGTGGGGGATATTTTTTTTTATATATTTTGATATATTTTTCTTGATATTTTCAGTGGGGGATATATTAGTGTCTTTGGGTTTTTTTCTTAATCAATTTTCCACAACTACAAATATATACTTGACTCTCCTGTCAAATTCTCTGTATGAGGGTCAAGCAGATCAATCCCTAGGAACTGCCAGCGCAACAACAGCACATGAGATTTGATTACAGTGGTGAAGGTTTTGTGCAGAACCATCTACACTTTTTGAAGGGCCAAATACAGAGACCTGGTGCACTACATGCCACAAGGTCCAAAAACAATCCTCCACAGGTTTTGAATTCAGAGTTGTCATTTTCCTAGACCAGTTGCTATCCAAGGCTATAGAACCCAGTCTGTCCTGCTATTTACCCATAGATGGAGGGAGAAGAAGAGGATTAATACCTTTCCCAAGGATATTAGCATGTAGGTGAATATAATGGATTTGACTGGAATTCGAACTTGGCTCTCCAATTCCTCAATCTGAGCCACTATCAATTACTCTACTATGCCTCCTCATACTTATATATGAGTTCTATATATTAGTGTGTATGCATGACAGTTCAAGCTCAATCTGTGCTAAGCAGCTTCACTCTGTGTACTTTAGTTGTGTTACCATGGCAGCAATCCTGATAGTGTATGATCAGACCTCATATATATACTGTATAAACTCAAGGATCCAATGTCTTTTGAAGACCTAATTTTTAAACTAATTTTATGGGGCTTGTATCATAAAATTAGAATATGTACTGCTGGAGCTAGCTACACTATATATCCATTTACTAAAGTCAAATTAACTTTAAACTTAGGTCTTCAAAAGCTGCATGATACACAAGTATATACAATATGTATGTGTGTGTTTGTGTGTGCGTGTATGTATATATATATATATATATATATATATATATATATATATATATATATAATTAACAGGGTGTAATGAGTAAATTGTTGCCATTTTATATTTTTAATTTTGTGCATGCACATTGTTTTTGATTTGGTTGACTGCATAGTATAGTAGGGTCAGTTGGATACAGTCTGTGAGAAAAAGAGCCATGACACAATTCACTCTGCCAGAAATTTAGAAACGTCATGCTGTATTGCTTGGCATTCATGCTGGAAGCTCCAATACGAACATTTCAGAGTGTTTGGGTGTCAATTTGAGGACAGTGCAGAGGATTCGGAAAAAGTTGGATGAGTCTAAAGGTGATAACAAAGGTGATCCCTAGTGATGGTAACATTATGCCTCCATTCATCTTCTCACAGAGCCTCAGACTCAGAGGCCTACATCATATGCCTTGAAGAGGTAGTGCTTCCTTGGGTCAAGAGGGTGGCTGCTGGAAGACTCTGTCTGGCAACAGGACTCTACACCATACCACAGAAGCAGGAGAACCCAGTCATGGTTGTAAGACAATTTCTGCAGCCACATCACCCCTTACATCTGGCCACCTAACTCCCCAGACTGCAACCCCCCTTGATTATTATTTGTAGGCGCAGTTGAACAAGGGAGCAACAAAACTCAAAACAAAACTTGCAACAACGAAGATGAACTGAAGACAAGGATTATGGCAGCATTCACCAATTTAAACAGTTGAGCAGAGGTAGATTCATACCTTTCCCAAAAGTATTTGCCCTTAAGTGAATATAACAAACCTGACTGGAATTGGAACTCAGCTCTTCTGTTAACAATTATCCATTATCCATTACACCACCCACACATCCAAGCTTACATCACCTGCCATTCCCAAATGGTCACCCATCTAAGTACCAACCAGGCTCTACATTGCTTAACTTCAGTGACCATATGGGAACCAATGTTTCAATATGATATGGCCATAAGCCTTGTTCATTGTGTTCTATTTTTCATAAGAGAGTAAGCTTGTACAGCTCATTTTTTTACTATTAAAATTTTGCATAAGATTTTTTTTTAATTTTGGGATCACCCTCAATTTAAATAACTCTTAAAAATTGGGGGTTGTCATATACTACAATTAAGAAACCTTAAATTATGAGTGATGCTTGTCAGTAGGCTAACCTCGGCCTTGGTGAGATAACCGATATCATGCATGAAAAGATTCACATTATCAAATAAACTGATAATCAAAGTAAGAAAACCATTTCTACCATATATATTGCTGCAATAACTTCATAATAAATTAACTATTTGAAGAATAGTTCCATTCCAACATAATCAACAAGTATCCATGCAAGTTCAGCCGAGAAAATGGAAACATTCAGTAAACTTTCAATAATGAATAAAAGACTGAATAAAACAAATGTTGAAAGTGGAATGTACTATTACCATACTGTTATTAGCAGTATTTTGTGATTGCTGATGAAGTATAAGTAAATGGCCATAAGTACACCAGGCTGTTTACAACTGTTTAGATATAAGAAAAGAAGAAGAAGAAGAACCAATATTCACAAGAGATCACATGATGAAGCATAAACAAAACAATGGTTTCCTTTTAGGAGACGTGTGTAGGAAAAACATGATATAGAATCTGATTTGTATTTAATTTATTTTGAATAACAAATATATATATATATATATATATATATATATATATATATATATATATATATATATATATAATTAATAAGCAATCATCTTATACTACAGGTATAGGATAAATTCTTGGAAATTTGGTATTGTTTTTGACCTTGTCTTATCTAAAAGTTGCCTTATATATGTTTTGTGATATCAACAGACAGTCTAGTATTTACATTAGTTGGACTATTGTCCTCATCTTTGTCGCCATATTTGTCACAATGTTTCGGCCGTTGTATGCCTTCTTCAGGTGGTTGGAATTTCGAACTGAACCCTTTATTTTGATCACTGTTCTAGTTCCACGTGCCATGTTTGATGGGTGTCAGTTATCAGTTATCTCCTGCTAATTTTCCCTCTGAAAGTTCTCCACTGCCTTAACCAGGTATTGAACTCACACTCTTTAGGTCCTGTCACTGGATCTAACCAATGCCTTTATCCACTGTGCCATGTGTCATTGCCACTTTTGTAATGTCAACAAATACTCATTGTCACTTTTGTAACACTCATTGTAGTAGAGACTTTGTAATCGCAGATACAACTATAGTAATGCCGTTGAACAATACTGGTATCAGACACCTTCGAATATCACTCACACTAATAGTACTTGCTCAATAATACTGGCTCAAAAAGTAACTACTGAATATTAATCTGTATAGTGGTCAGTATAGAGAAATAGTGTAGAAATAGTGAATAGTATAGAAAATGGCAAACCGTATATTAATAGAGGATAGAACAGAAATGGTGATCAATTAGACATCACGCTACTTCCTGCTTATGTGTTTCCCCCATGGTCACATGATCCACTTAATTCAATAATAGGATTGCATGTGTTTGCTCTCTGGCAATCTGCATTCAAACTCCTGTGCCATCAGTGACACTTTATTCCTATATAACAACATGGAAATATACGGTGAGTATATGAAAAATCAATTCAAAATCTCATTGAGTTAAAATGGAGTGTAAAAAAAAAAAAAAAAAAAATATAGATATATATATTGTCTAAACAATGCAACAAAGGGGAACTTTGACTAAAGATAGTGAAGTAGTGAATACAAATGTTTGTAGTAACTAATTTCTCCTAAGTAGGCTTTTAGATGAGTTTATATTTTTTTAATTATTTATAATGATAATAAATTTTCTATTTATTTTCAGGCAATACAAAGACCTCGTTCGGTGCATAGCAAAAGTCAATTTTACAGCTGTAAGTTCTTTTGTGGGTAAGCAAAATCCCGATAATTGTGAATTTTCCATTCAAGAGATAAAAGAACTTCAAAAATATAACATTACACCAACCACAGTGAGTTTAACAACTCAGACTGCTGCTGGTAAGACAAACATTTATTCATTAATATATAAATATATATGTATGTATGTATAAATATGTATGTGCATGTATGTATATATATGTGTATATGTATGGATATGGGTATATTTATATGTGTAAATATATATGTGAAAAGTGTATATAAATATAAATAAATATAAATATGTATAATTATTTATATATTATATATGTACTTATTAGAAAGCACTCAATATCAGAGATAGAGCTAACATATTTGGTTGGAAACTCACATCTATCCAACCAAATATGTGTATATATATATATATATATATATATATATATATATATATATATATATTAAATATAACAGACAATGAATGTCTATTATGTCTGATCATGAGCCATTTTAATGTTCGAATGTTTGCTTTAATTTCTGGTAAAAATAAAGACAAAAATTGTTCAACATTTGGATATATTTTTTATTAAGTTGGTCCTAAGCCTTCGACTCACATGAGCCATCTTCAGAGTGCTTATACAGGCACGAAACAACAATATCCACCATCAAAGATGATATTTTGCTATTTTGATGTAGAAAATTGCTATGTGATGATAACGGTTACAAAATAGTAGATGCAGATCATGATCAGACATAATAGACATTCATTGTGTGTTATATTTAATAATATATGTTTAAATAATGATCTGCTGCCCCAATATACTATATATATATATATATATATATATATATATATATATATATATATATATATATATATACCGTTCAAAAGTTTGAAGCCACCCACAGAATTAGCATGGGATGAACATGACAGAAGATTGAACAAAAAATGAAAAAGAGCTCTTAGTCATTGTAAAAGAATAGAATAATTTTTCAAACGCATACTTTGAGAAACTTTTACAACGAATGCCAAAAGTTTGTGCTGCAGTAATCAAGGCTAAAGGAGGATATTTTGACAAGAGCAAAATTTAATCTTAAAATGCTTTCTTCTTTTTGTCATAATAAAATTTCTAATAAAAAAATCATGCCTCACTTATTTTTTAACCGTATATAATAATTTTCTCAACTACTTTTGGGGCCAATTTAGAAAATTACCAAGAGTGGACTCGACCTTTTGAACTGTAGTGTATGTATGTATGTATGTATGTATGAATAAAGAGACATGAGAAAAAACTACTCTTAGCTGATGTGTTTCATCCTATGAGAGACTTTATCAAGGCAATGTACGATTTAACTTGTTGCACATGTTTATATACAAAAGTGAATATTCCATTGGTTTATCAAGGCTTTTAAATTTGAGAACATTCATGAATATTCATCAGGTGGGTGAAAGGTCAGTCAAAACATGCGGAGGACACAAAGTGCCATAATTCAAAATCTAGCCAAAATGTAAGCAAGTAATCAAGAATGAATGAATATTGTTTAAATTGTGATTAGATTATTGTGGTAAGAGATGGATGCGTGTGGTGTACATATTCAAAAACATGGATTTAACAATTTTCTTGATTTTTCAACATGTCTGTGGTCATGTATATTGGCTTGGGAAAGTAATAATTTTTTCAGAGATTGGGAAAAAACCAGGGCATAGATTTATATTCAGATAAAATTTGATAGCAGCACTCAAGAATTTTCCCTCTGTGTAGATATATGTATGTATGTATGTATGCATATATAATGGCAGCCGATGTCCAAAATGACCTTAAGTCTGTTGTTAGCTGGGGCAGAAGATGGCTAAATTTTAAGATGGTTAATTTTAACACTTCCAAAGTTAAACTTCTCTCCATTAATCATCTGAGAGACTCCTCTCTGCCTTCCATCAGCATAGCTAATGCTAACCTCTCGTTGTGTCTTCTCAGGCTAATGTTCTCAGCTAACATGAAATGTAAAGACTATATTGAATCCATTGCTAGGTCAGCTGATAAGAAAGTTGGTTCACTGTGTGGTGTGAGACAATTTTTCTCTCCAGAATTTATCTTACATATCTATAAGTCTAGAATTCACCAATGCTTAGAATATTGCTGCTATACATGGTCTGGTGCCCTTGCTATTTACCTTAAGCACCTTGATAAAATCCAAAGAAGAGTCAGCAATATTATTGGGCCTGATCTAGTGGCTTGGCTTCAGTCACTTTTCCACAGCCATAAGGTTGCTACTCTGTGTCTTTTCTGTAAGTATTTTCATGTTAATTGTTTGTATGAGCTCTTCACTATGGTACCTAGACTTTTTTAATTTAAGCACAGTACTAGACTAGTGTTGAGATCACACCAATTTAGAGTTGAGCTGGGTAGATGTAACTGTAAGTTCTAGGCTAAAGAATCTGCAATGTTATTTGTCCTGACCTGGCATCTTGACTTGTATTGACATAGTCACCATTATTCATCGGCAGTGGTAAAGAAATCTCTTTTTTTGTCCCTGATGCCAAGCAAGCAAACTGGTGGCATTGGAGGAGCATTGTAATTTGTCTCTTTCATTCAATGCATGTGGCAACCATGCACAGAGTTTTTATAAACTTATGCATCAATTGAAGATGATGGGTAACAGTATCATTAGATCATCCCATCTGCTAAGCCAATTCACTAGTGAACTGATGCTGATCCTCAAGCTCATTCAATCAGTCCCCATTGAACTGAACGGGTCAGCTGGAATGCAAAGTGTCTGTGAGGTTCAATTTCCTCTTCTTGAAGTGTGAAAACAATTCCTTTACAGTTCTTTCCACAATAGAATCTTCTCTGTATGCAGCACAAATGTCCCGAACAGCTTTGGTACCTTTGTAACTTTGATTGTATGTGAAGAGTAAACAGGTGTTGAAAATATTCATTTTTATCTGCTTGGTACTTCGTCATATATCTGAAAAAAGGCAAAATTGAATCAAATTTCAAAAGCAATAAACAAAAGTTGTAGAAGAAGAATATAGTTACAAAAACAAAGAGTATAAAAAAACTACAGCAATGATTCTCAACCACTGTGTTACAGCACACTAGTGTACC